TTGCTGCTGCTGCTGCTGCTATTGTGGCCGCTGCTGCTGCTGCTGCTGCTATTGTGGCCGCTGCTGCTGCTGCTGCTATTGTGGCCGCTGCTGCTGCTGCTTCTGCGCTTGCAGCCACTCCTGACGCCCCTATTAGCTCTGCTGCTGCTGCAGATTTTGCTGCTGCTGCTGCTATCTCTGCTGCTGCTCCAGTTCCTGCTGCAGTTCCTGCTGCTTCTGCTATTCTTGCTGCTGCTGCTGCTGCTGCTGCAGCAAATTTACCCTTGTTCATTTTGTTTGTTTTTGTTTTGGGCATTTTTATTTTTGTTTATTTGATTTCTTTTTGCTTTCGTCAAAAAGCTGTGGGCCCCCGTCAAGTGCCGCCGCCGCTGAGCCCTATAAATAAAATAAATAAATAAATAAGTAAATAAATAAATAAATATTCATTTATTTATTTGTTTATTCTGATTAATTAATTAATTAATTACTCCAATTAAGTGTTGAATTTTTATTTTTTCGATATTTTTGTTTGGGCGTTTTGTGCATCGTGTTAGCTGCTCCTTACTGGCCCTAAACCCTAAACCCTAAACCCTAAACCCTAAACCCTAAACCCTAGACCCCAGCCCCTACTCCCCAAACACTCACCCCGGAACCTGAACCCTGAACCCTAAACCCCGATTCGGAAGCCCTAAACCCCGATCACTAAACCCTAAACTCTCGCCTAAACCCTAAACCCTAAACCCTAAACCCTAAACCCTAAAGCTGACCTGACGGGCAAGGGCGGCGTGCGGAACCAGGGGTGCTCAAGAGCAGCACATGCAGAAATCCTTTTTGCTGCAGCAGAAGCAGCAAAAGAGACGCAGCATTAATTTAAAAAATAATTATTGACCGCCTTGTTTATATTTGCTGCTACTACTGCTGCTGCTGTTGCTGCTCTTGCTGCTGCTGTTCCGGTAGTGCTGCTGCTGTTGCTGCTATGGCTGCTGCTTCTGCTGTTACTGCTTCTACTGCTGCTGCTGCTGCTGCTGCTGCTGGCCGTGCGACTGTTGCTGCTGTTGTTTTCGGTACTTTTGCTGCTGCTGTTTTTGCTGCTGCTGCTGCTGCTGCTGCTGCTGCTGCTGCTGCTCACTTGGATTCCACGCGAGCAGTTTGGACAGAAGGTCCCAACCCTCCTCGCCCGCCCTGAACAAACCCACAGCAGCAAACCCCAAACCCCAAACCCTAAACCCTAAACCCTAGACCCTAAACCCCGAAAAGGCGCAAACAACTCTGGAGCAGCAAAAGACGAATTTTCTCAACTCCATCAAACCCTCACTGGTTTTTATGTTTGATGATATTTTGAAACTCAAGAGCCTTGTGAGGGGCCCCCTGCAGCAGCACTGGGGCCCCCCCGGGGGCCCCCCGGGGGCCCCCAGAGGGCGCCCAGGCCCGAAATTTGTTTCCAGGCGTGGCTGGGGGCTTGTTGGCGAAGTTGGGCCAAATCTGCTGGAGAGGGGGGTCCAAGTTTCTGAAAAAGGGGCAAAACGAAGGCAAACGAGGGCGAATAAACGCGAAATAACGGAGCAAAACGAAACAAAAAGAATAGAAAGGACTGGAAAGAAAAAGAGGGAAAAACGGAGGAAAAAACGGAGAAAAGGAAGGGTTTCGGAAGTTGAATGCCGCGCGGCGCGGCGAGCGCGGGTTGAAAAGTGGAATCGGGGTTTCCGGAGCTCCAAAAAGCGCCGAAAGAGCGCGAAACCGCCGGAAAAGAAAAGAATAAAAGAAAAGAAAAACAAAAAACGAAAAAAAGAAAAAAAAGGAGCGAAAACGGCGGAAAAACGGACCTCCGCGATCTGGCGCAGCACTGCAGCCTCCTTGTCAGCAGCAAACAAAGGAAACGCACACAGCAGCTCCCCCATGATGCAGCCCGCGCTCCAGACATCTGCTGCAGTGCCATATTGCTGCTGCCCCAGCAGCAGCTCGGGGGGGCGGTACCACAGCGTTATAACTCTGTTCGTCAGGGCTCGGAAGCTCGACCCTGCTGCTGCTGCTGCTGCTGCTGCTGCTGCTGCTGCTGCTGAGGAGGGGGCCGCGGCCGCGGCGCGGCCGGGGGGTGCCGCTGGGCGCGGCGGCGGCGCGGCGGCGCCGGAGGAGGAGGGGGCTGCTGCTGCTGCTGCTGCTGCTGCTGCTGCTGCTGCTGCTGCTGCTGGGGCTGCTGGGGCTGCTGCTGGGGCTGCTGCTGGGGCTGCTGGGGCTGCTGCTGGGGCTGCTGGGGGGGCGGGGGGGGGTTGCGCGGTTGGAGCAGGGGGCCCCGAGGGGGCCCCTTCTTGGGAACTGCTGCTGCTGCTGCTGCTGCTGCTGTTGAAGTAGCAGTCAAGGGGAGCAGCAGCAGCAGCAGTTTGGAATCCCCTCGTGCTGCTGCTGGCAAACACTGAGAAGCGCCGCGCCAGCCCAAAGTCCGCCAGCTTCACCAGCCCCGAACTCGTCAGCAGCAAATTTGCAGCTGCAGCAGCAGCAGGGACCAAAGGAGTAAGGGGAGCAGCAGCAAAGCAATGAGAAGCATTCGTTCACAAGCAGCAGCAGCAGCAGCAGCAGCAGCAGGGACCAAAGGAGTAAGGGGAGCAGCAGCAAAGCAATAGATATACGCGTCTACTTGCAGCAGCAGCAGCAGCAGCAGCAGCAGCGGCGACGAAGATCACAAGGAGAGCAGCAGCAAATGAATGAAACAAATTACTTTAATGCAATTAGCAGCAAATAAGA